ACCTCTTTCATACTTGCTCTGTCAACATTCACGCAAGGTCAGAGCACGAGCCCGATTGACAAAAGCCTTTTTTCTCCTCTGTGTGTGCAAAACTGCCACAGAGACGATGATTCTGTCGTACTTGTTGTTGACACAAATGATGGGGTCCTGCCGTCCAAGAGTCCCAGCTGTGCACACGGGGCTGAATGAGGCCAATCCAAATGCACAAGCTTCAACTTCAAGGCTTGGAGCTTATTTTGGAAGCACAGTGTCATCCATTGCACTGACAAAAGCCCCTCCGTGAGACCTAACTGAGGAAGTATAAAGAGCGTTTATATATAAAAAGATTTTGTGATTTGTCTGCCAACTCTGTTTTGGCAGACACTTTTCTATCCATCACACAAAGCTTATTTTGGTCTCTGAAAAATTGAAAAAAAAACATTCAATTTAAGGTGACATTTTACTGAGCCCAAACTATTTCTTATCAGAATGTGAACAGGTTTTGTAATTGTATTAGATATGATTCAGGCTTAATTAATACCCTAACCCCAACTCCTAACCCCAATTAAGTAATCTCTATGCCAACATCATTGTGAAGTTTATTTTTGCTTTGTTCATGCTGTATTAAGGCTGTTAAATGTGTTGTTATATTATCAAATGTTACCTTTTATTTTTTTGAGAACCAGTTTAAAATCTGTGTCTATTAAACTGTTTGACATGCTTTGTTTAGTAAATTTGAAGGTGTACTGTGCAGCTTGTCTGGTGAAAGGTCCGTCACCAGTTTCTCTCCATGGAGATGTTGCCTGAAATGCTCCACAGTATGGCATTACATGTATTTATTTCTCTGGAGACAGCAGGTGATACCATAGGGCTAAGCTAGAGTGCAGGTATTTAAGTCAATAAAAACCCATGTTATTGAGTAAAAAATTGATCCGTTTAATGCCATACAGGACATTTCAGACAAAGCAACAACATTTCCATGAAGACAAGCAGACAGCAGACAGAAAACACAGTGCACCTATTTTTTCTCTACCGGTGACTTGAACCCACAACAAAATATCCCATGATCTATTTTTCCTTTCTTAAACTTCTCACAAGAAATACACACACATTATAATCTGTATTTATTATTGCACCGTGAGTTAATAGCATTTTCCACTTTGCCAGTGTCTCAACCCTTCCTATTTTTATCTAAACCTTTGCATTTAAAATCAAGTGTTAAAGCAGTGGGCTGCAGAAGTGAGTGGGTGGTATGAGAAGGAGGTGCAGAGCTCTTATCAGGCCTGCTCCTCTGTTTTGCCTTAGGGCTCTGCTGAATGTTGGAGCACTGATTATAGAGGTTAGGCTCAGGAGCAAAGGGGAAGCGCTGGGCATATGTCTAAAGAGCATCTAACCACCAGCCCTGGATTAAAACACATGAGTGAAAGCAGCCAACACAATGTTCAAACAAGGTGGCAAAGTTTGTTTTCGCTCTGACATTGAAATTAGCTGTGAAGGTGAAAGCACAACAATACTGTATCCTGAAAACAAAATAAAATAATGGGTGGCATTTTCTGCTGATTAATTATTTATGGGATGTGCTTTAGACTGCATGAATCTGTGTTTGCCATTTGTGAGATGTAAGATCCACAATCGCTTCACAGAGCCTCAGTTAAGCAATTTCTCTGCAGGATTTAAGATTGAGCTACAGATTATTAGAAGAAATGTATAGATAGACGCTGTGGCAGTTGCAGCGTCCTAAGATTAATGCTCAGTTCGCATTATAAACAAACATGGCAGCTTACATGTAAAATAAGAAGAAAAACAACATAAAGGACTGAGAAACAGTGTGGATTTTCTCAGAATCAGCAATCGAAACACCAAACTATGACTTATCTTAGGTAAAAGAAGTTATATTTTGTTCTGAGACACACGTGCTACAAATTAGCAGCTGTGGTTGGACCATCTCAAGTTTCAATGGAGCATTTTCATCCTCTGTGATTTGGACCTTTCTTGATTGTCACTGTGCTATCAAAAAATCCAAGCTAAAAACAAGCTTGTAATTGTAAATTATAAATATAACTGGACCAAAATTTCATTGTATTAAATTACACATTGTTCCCTTATCAAAGACATACCTGGAGTTGTATTTTTATTTCATTCACCCTTGTTTTATTAATCCTGTTTAAGAGGACATCTTGTTCTGAGCCACTCAAATTTCCCCCCGATTGTGACGTCAATGGTAGATGAGGGTTGATCAGCAAAACAGATGACTCAGTGACCAATATGCCATATGTTGTACAGGCCTAATTTAGTTTTGGGTGTAGTCTGAACAAAAATGATGGAAGGGCTGTAGTGACTGTGGTGAAGCCCTCTCCTCTGAGTCCTGCGTCAGCACTGACTCACTGTTCTCGGGGCTCACAGCTGACACCTCCACTGGGCCACATGGCTCTGCTGGGACGGGTGTGGACCTGTCTGAGGATGGACTGTTGAGCCAGACGGGTGGAGTGATACTGGGAATTTAAGAGTTACACCACACAAAAATGTTGGTCTTATTTTCAGTCAGCTTTAAAATAGGTTAACTAATTATACTACAGTAGAAACTCAAAGCGAATTCTGTCACATAATATTTGGCTTTCCAAGGACTAGATCTAAACCCAGACAATACCAGGCCTTAATCAGGGCTTAAGTGGTCAAATTGAGACTAAACCAGTTCTAAAATGAGACTAAACCATGGATTAGGTGGTTCTATATAATGATCAATCCAAAGGAGTGCAAAAACATTCATATGTCTCTAAATATAACAATTACTCCACCTACACAAACCAGAGATAACCCATATACCCCTAGTGCACATATTGACTATAGGCTATGTGTAAACTAGAGGGCACGTTTGATGTGACTGTCCTAATGTCCACATCAGCTGTAAGTACATGTAAAGCTCTCTAACTTTCTTACCTGGCCAGCCACACGCTTTAACAAAATGTAGATCTGAAGCCATTTCCTGTCTCCCTGATTTCAGAGGGTATGATTGACAGACGGATTAACCAGAGAACCAATCAGAGAGGTGCAGGCTCAGTTTGTATCAAAAACAATCATGGCTGCTTAAAACGTAAAAAAGAAAAACAGAAAAACATAACGAACTGAGAAACAGCATGGATTTTCTAAGAATCAATAATCAAAGTACCAAACTATTCATCACAGGCAAAAAAAAAAAAAAGTTATCTATTTTGTTCTGAATGTCATGAGGATGTTTGACAGGAGATGTTTTTTTGTCTTCAAGAGATATGTGCTACAAATTAGTGTCTGTGGTTGGACCATCTCAAGTTTGGCTGGAGGTTTTTCATGCTCTTTGGTCCAATTCCAGACTCTTCTGGATCTGAACAGAATGTAGAAAGGACTGGCTGGTCAGGCAACTAACTTTCCAGGAGCTACAACATATTCTTATTGTGAAATTAAATTTAATCCAGGTAGTAAAGTTTAATGCTGTTTAATGCCCAGAATATTTGTCAGATTTGTGTGTAAGCTTAGCTGCTCAGGTCTTGTACAGCACCAGGTGTAAGCGGCTCTATCCATATCTCCTTCAGCTTCTGCAAACCCCAGTGACGCCTCTGGCTAATTCCACTCCAAACCCCACCAGGACGTCCTGCATCCTCCAATAAATGAGACGCACTTCTCCCCCCACTGAGAGAGAGGCCCTGACAGTCTGGCCACCTCCCAAAGTCACACACACACACACAGTGAATTATTGCTATTTCTACTTCAGTAGCACAGTGCTCTTAACTGAGTGGGCTGGCTTTTTCATTTGGTATGCGCGATAATAGGATTGTATCATGCAATTGCAATGGCTCCCTCATTTCTATTTGCGAGGTGATGAAATTCAAGCAGGGGTAATTTGGAAAGTTTTCTAAATATAGCACAGAGCAAGATCTTTCAGTAGTTCTAGGTACACTTGGTGGTATGCTGTTGTTGTCCAATAATCTTGTAAGTGTTGAGTGTGAAAACTAAATCACTTCTATGGCTAAGTAAATACTGTTATATAACAATTTTATTTGGGATGGTGAATGTGTTTGTTAAATTGGTGATACATAAAGCAAATAGTAATCATAACCCATCATTTCAACTGACTAATGTGCAGCCCTTATGCTTTTCTTTTTGATTTCTGCTGATTTATATAACACAATTTTCATCACAGTAACAATCTGAACTAGCTGATACTTATATTGAATTGTTAAAACTTTTGTATTGCACAAAATTGTCTCTTCTGAGCTTTACAACATATTATAATGTTGTTACCTCTTCAAAAACATACCTAGAGTTGTGTTTTCTTTCATTCACACATGTTTGAGTAACATCTCCGAAGCTCAAAATGCTCTGTTCCACCTTGTGATGTCATGAAGTTGTAGTTTTCAAGTTGACAGCTACTTTTACTTTTGGTTTTTAGAGATGAAATTATCAACATGATTGTGTGAATTGTATGGAGCTTAACAACACAATGGAGTAATCCTTGTATTACCACATCACAAGTGTTTTCCATTTGAGAGAAGAACTTAGGCTGAATATGCAGGGTTTGTGTGTTAAACATGTGTGAATGGAACAAAACACATCTCCAGGTATGTTTTTGATGAGGAAACAACATTATAGCATAGATCAGAAAACAGCGCAATATGGGCACATTAAAATTAAATCAGTCTCGGTTTGTATACATTTAAAGATCCCTTGGTAAGCGGAATATGTCCTGCAGCATGTACCCGGAGATCCATGATTTGAAAGTGCCTGTCAAAAAGGGTTAATGATGATATACAGCTTTGATCTCCTATATGTCAATGTACAAAGCACCACCCTCCTGAGTGACAAATCAAAGCCACTGTCAGATCCCTATTGTGGATTCAGGGTCGTACCTCCTCCCCAAGTCCCACTGTCTTCTATCAGCCACTGTTTTTGCATCCAATCTGCAGCATCTGCTTCTTGTCTAAAGTTTTGAATTGAGTCAGCGTCCCAGCCTGACATCTCTCCCACTCTCTCTGTCTTTCTCTGTGCAGTGCTATTGTGCCTGCTGTCAGCGGACGCCCAGACGGAGATGAAGAAGGTCGTCGGGGACAACGCCACCTTACCGTGTCACCATCAGTTGCCGTCATCCAACTCTCTCGACATTGAGTGGCTGTTGCAGAAACCCAACTCCAAGCAAAAAGTGGTAAGAGTTGATTCAACCCCCAGGCATAACATTAAAGATCTTGTACCAGACTTATTTTTTCCAGTTTAGGTAAATGCCCTTCACGCTATACAATGTCATTTAGTGCGCATCGGAGTGCGGCTGTCATGTTCACACTGGTCCAAGAATACTGCAGTTGGGAAAAAAAGCTATTTTTTGTTGATCTGACCAGTGTCAGTGGTGCATTTACATGGCCATTAAAAACAGATAAACTAGAAAAATCCATTAACTCAATAACAAGATCTGATTGTTGTGTGTTTACATGCTCAAGAGAAAGCTGGCGCTTTATGTCAGTTAACATCAACAGATTTTTAGAGTAACTGTTGCATAGCGAAGCACAAGGAGTTTCAAAATAATCAAATCTTTAACATGTTTTTTTCTTTAATTTTATATTTGCCGTATAAGTTTACAAAATGTTCCTTGTCAAAAACTGTGCAAGTGTGAACGATCAGAAATAAATCAGATTACAAAAGCGTCAAAACAAAGTGCATTGTAAATTATGGGGATGTATGTAAGCAGAGTTCTGCCTAATTAGCATACAGTTTGTCTTCTCTTGAACTGTTTCCCACATTTCAATCAAATCACACTACAGAAATCACCCAAAGCTCAACATACCACAAACAGACACTTCCACAGTGGCCTTGAACTCAAAGTTACTCATACTCTGACCTCTCCTAGAAAACCCAAAGTGGTGGAGAGTGCTCGGAGCTAAAACATATTTCAGCCTCTAAAAATAGTCCCTGTCTTAAACCCACAATGTCAGGTAAGGAGTGGGCTATATTTAGACTGATTTCTGTCAGACAGCCTATCCCAGTGGAGCGGCCGCCGTGCTGTGGGCTGTGTTCTCCACTTTCATTAAGAATTGAAAAGACATTGTTGTGTGAAAAATGTATTTGTGTTTTTTATTGCTGTCTCATCTGAGTTGCTTTTGTTGATGTCAATTTCATATAATTTTGAAATATTTAAGAATTGTTTGGAGACTTTGTGACTCTAAATTGACCTTTGTGTGTAGTAATAGTAGTAGTAGTAAGTAGTAGTAGTAGTAGTAGTAGTAGTAGTAGTAATAGTAGTTCCACCTGTTTCTTGTATTCTTTCCTCTAAATGTCAGTGTGTGGTAGTAGTAGTAGTAGTAGTAGTTCCACCTGTTTCTTGTATTCTTTCCTCTAAATGTCAGTGTGTGGTAGTAGTAGTAGTAGTAGTAGTTCCACCTGTTTCTTGTATTCTTTCCTCTAAATGTCAGTGTGTGGTAGTAGTAGTAGTAGTAGTAGTAGTAGTAATAGTAGTTCCACCTGTTTCTTGTATTCTTTCCTCTAAATGTCAGTGTGTGGTAGTAGTAGTAGTAGTAGTAGTAGTTCCACCTGTTTCTTGTATTCTTTCCTCTAAATGTCAGTGTGTGGTAGTAGTAGTAGTAGTAGTAGTAGTAGTAGTAGTAATGGTAGTTCCACCTGTTTCTTGTATTCTTTCCTCTAAATGTCAGTGTGTGGTAGTAGTGGTAGTAGTAGTAGTAGTAGTAGTAGTAGTAGTAATAGTAGTTCCACCTGTTTCTTGTATTCTTTCCTCTAAATGTCAGTGTGTGGTAGTACTAGTAGTAGTAGTAGTAGTAGTAGTAGTAGTAGGAGTAGTAGTAGTAGTAGTAGTTGTTGTTGTTGTTGTACTGTTGTACTAATAGTATGATGGTACTAGGAGGAGGAAGAGGAGGAGTATGGAAGTAGTAGCTGTTGTTGTAGTAAGAGTAGTAGTATGGTAGTAGTAGTACTAGTAATAGTAGTAGTAGAAGTAGTACTCATACTACTAGTAGTACTAGTAGTTAACCACAATAGTTTTTGTTCAATGTATTTATTCCTGTTTCCCCCATAAGATTTGCTTTGTTCTTGTCATGTTAATCACAATTGACTCTTAGCCACTCTTCTGTAGCAATATAGAGATACACTGTGTTATGCAATTGATTCTAACTGTCTTGTTGGGCATAGATCAGTTCAAAGAAGGCTACACAGCTCCACACAGGCGAAGCTTACTGTTGTACTTCCCCATATCTATTACATTTGACTGCTTTTAAATCATTGCCTTTTTCCATCCATTTGAACACAGCATCAGATAGCAGCCCGAGCATGAAGGCACACAGGAAAGAGATTTCCTTTGTATTGGCCCTCATTTGTTGGTGCAGCGATTGTTGTGGAGCTCAGACAATGGTTACAGTGGGAAAAGAAGGGAGCAGAGAGTGCATGGAGAAGAAGGAGGGAGGGTCTTGGTTTGAATGAAAGCAGAAAATAAGTGTCTTCCATGCTTTGATGATTCTGAGGAAGGCTGCCACATTGTGATGAATATTTAACAGGAAGATAACATTGAGGACGCCATTAATTAAAATCAAACATTTGAAAATTTGATCAGGGAAGAGAATGTGCCTGTAGCCCAGTAAATAAATTATTCTTTTGTTCTGCTGGATGGCCATTTGAGCGAAAGAAACTACTGTAAACCTGGAGATTGTATGTTAGCAAGTCTTCAAGCTACATGTTGCATGGCATAGGAAACTTAAACCTTTGGCTTGAAGGTTATATGTTCAGCTTTTCAAAATGAAATATGTATACATTCTCTAAAGCTGCAATTCTCAATGTTAAAATCGTTAAAGCAGGAGGCATTTAAATCTACCTACTTCCAACTCTCAAAATACACATACATGCATTTTTGGGGCCATGTATAACTTTAGAAAAGCTATTTCAAACTTCAACGTAAAGCTTTTATAATATACTGGGGGAAAAAATAAATGTATTTATTTGGAATAACTATGATCATGATAAAGCGGACCTATTACACAAAATAAAAATTTTAAAGCTTTAAAACTATGTTATAGTTGTTTCCCCTGCTTATTTGTCCTTTCCAGGTTGTATTTAGTATGATTCATCCATGTTTAAGGAATATTTATACACTTGTATTCAAGTCATTGCGCTGCTCAACTCCTATTTTCACCATCACTGGTATATGCCCGCACCTCTGTAACTTAATTCTGCAATTGTATTTTCTTAATCAGTAATATGCATAGGATCCAGCAGCATCACATAGCCATTTTGGTGTAAATGAAAAAAAATCTGCTTCTTGCTAGCATGATATGTGTCAACTTCGCAGCTCTTTGCTGTGCTGACATCTGCTCTCATTGGAACCTTCTGTTTTCTAACACCAAAGTTTGTTTAATTGTTGTTAAGATCAATGTTGTGATTTAAAATAACATAATCATGTTAGAGATTACAACTCTATAGCAGACTCAAGTACATACAGGTCTTTAAGAATTTCATGAAGCCCATTTAGTCCCAGTATTATAATCTTTGTTGGTTATAAATGTATAGAGGAAATATATTAAAGATTTAAACATGTATAACAAATTTTGTAACTCAATATGAGACCGTAGATGATGGTTAAATAAAACTCCACTTCATTATACCTAGGTTGCTGCCGTAGTGTCATTAGTGGTGTATATTTAGCTTGGCTCATATACACAGAATAAAGCAGCATCCAAAGTTAATTACAAATAGCTTGCCTCAGGTTGTTGTACAAAAACACTCCTGATTTACTCTCCTTAACTAACAGCTTCTTTCCCATCAGTCTTCAGAGCAGCTGCACTACAGACCTGTAAACATATTTATCTGCCTAACACTGTAGCATCTTTGCCAGTGGGCAGCTCAAATGCACACTTTGTTACCTCTGTATATTCCTCTATATTCCCCTGCGGCTCTGCTACTCCTGTGCTGTCTGTTTGGTTTGGTGGTGACTGTATTTTACATGTTTGAGCGGAGGCGTGTGCGGTTATATGTTTGTGTATGGATGTGAGTGTAAGTGGCCGTTCATCACCTATGATCCCGGCAGGTGTCCCGTGCTCAGCAGGTGTTGGCAGGCGCTGATGCACTGTGGCAGGGGCATTTAGCGGTGCACATCTGTAGACCCTCCACCACCCGCAGTATTTGCCCTGTGACAGCTGTGCCCGCTACTGTGTGCTCCAGAGACACAGGAGCAGCGATAGCTTTGTTTTTTTCTATATATTTTTGTATGTGGAAGGAGACGTCATTATCCCTCATTTGTCCATAAGTTTTGTAGAGAGGGTTTCAGAGGTGCATCTGTGTCCACTGTACAGATGACTACCCCTAAAATCTCTAAATATTAGTGGAGAATGCATTATAATCATATAGCGCTATAGTAGAATCACTTTGCATTTTAGAAAATGTTTGATTTCTAAAGTATCAACAGCTTATTTATTAAAAGGCCCAATGGAAAGAGAATAATTTCCTGATCACAAAAAACATTATAATATTTTAAAAAAACATAATTTGATTTTTGTAAACTGTGATTTCTGAAATGCATTACCAAAGAGGCACGTGGCATTATAATGTAGCCTACATTTTACTTTATTCTCCCTCTATTTTCATTGCATGTATTTCTTATTGTTACTTATATGTTGTTTAAAGATCCTTAAATGGATTCTTGTGAGTTTTATGTTTTTTAGATTAAGTTTGTGTAAACATGTTAGTCTGTCTACATCTCCAAAGCTCAAAATGCTTTGTTACACCTTGTGATGTCATGTAGTGGTAGTTTTAACAGCTCCTTTTACCTTTACTTTACTGGAGAGTGGAAATTTCAGAGCTGAAATCATCCAAATGATCCAAATGAAGTTGTACTAAAACACACTTCCTGTATTGGCACATGACATCGCAAGGTGGAACATAGTGCTTTGTGTTAGATAGAAGTTTTTTGTGTTTAACATATGGTATGTTAATGAAACAAAACAAAACTCCAAGTGTGTTTTTGACAAGCAACATTAAACCATAGCTGAGAAAACAGAATGTGAGCTTATGATATCTGAACACCTCAAATTCTTTGTTAAAATCATGCTGGTTATGTAATGTGAAGAGTGAAGGCACATTATGTTAAAGAAACTATGACAAGTAATATAGATTAAACATCAAAGAGGAAGGGGGTATTTCTGAACATGGGATAACGTATATGCACAGTGGGCCCTAAAGCATTAGTGAGCCATTCCTTAAGAATTACTTCGACTACATGAGTTCCAGCGAGGCTCTTGAATCTTTTATCTACAGAATTGATTTCGATTTGGTCAATTTGACAGTAGCGCTAGTGGAAAGGCCATAAGAGCTCTCACAGATAATCAGCTAAATGAACACTGGCAGCATACAGGCATTACAGCAAATGCACTCATTTCTCAAGTGTGATTTCCCCAGCTATAATTGAAAAGTGAATGTTAACATGATTACACTAGTATTGGTATTTTGTACTTTTTAAATATGCTTCTTAAACACCACATGCTTGATTTGATACTTTGTAATGAGCTCTTAGCTGTGTGAATTATTCAGAGAAGCTAACAAGCAGCCACACATATTTTTCTTGTCCTGTTTTATATAAGAATTCATTTGTGAGATAACTCCTGTTGAATGTTTATTATGCTGAATTTCTGAACTGCACATGCCAAGTTACAGGTCAAATGTGTGGAGAGGCAAGCCCACTCACAGTAATAATGCTTAAAGTTTTGCTATGTGTTTTTGAGTAATACACATGTAACTGAAAAAAGTAAGATACAGTTTAATGCTATGCTGTGGGTCAAACCAAAACCTCCCCAGGAAAAGTGACAAAATAGTTATTGACAGTGATAGAATATTCTTTCAAAAATATCTTTCTGTTTGTTTGTATCCAGATCATCACGTTCTTTGGAGGAGAGATATACACAAATGAGGAGCTCAGTCGTCTGTCGTTTGCAGGGGAGTATTTGGGAGGAGACGCCTCTCTGCTCATCAGTGACCTGCTGCTCAGTGACTCTGGAGAGTACTACTGTAAAGTCAAGACCGGAGGGAAGTACCACTGGAGCCAAGTCAACCTCATTGTACTGGGTGAGCCACATTCAAACTGACACTATGAGAATAATAAATGACACAGGGATTCAGGATTCAGCTTTAAAGTATAGACAAAAATGTTAATATGATATGACTTTTCCAGAACTTTTTATAAGAGAATACATATGGCCAGTGATGAGAAAAATACTTTGAAAATCTTTTTAGTTACAGAATAATGAATATCTAGTAATGTATTCTGATACATCCAGAGTCCAGTACATCTGGTCCAATCAGAGTACTGTGTTCTGAATACTTGGAATAAGTATTTTAAGTATAAGTAGTTTTACATTCATCCATCCATCCATCCATCCATTTTCGTCCGCTTATCCGGGGCCGGGTCGCGGGGGCAGCAACCTAAGCAGGGACTCCCAGACTTCCTTCACCCCAGACACGTCCTCCAGCTCCTCCGGGGGGACCCCGAGGCGTTCCCAGGCCAGCCGAGAGACATAGTCCCTCCAGCGTGTTCCTGGGTCTTCCCCGTGGCCTCCTCCCGGTGGGACATGCCCGGAACACCTCCCGAGGGAGGCGCCCAGGAGGCATCCGGAACAGATGCCCGAGCCACCTCAACTGGCTCCTCTCCACGTGGAGGAGCAGCGGCTCTACTCCGAGCTCCTCCCGTGTGACTGAGCTCCTCACCCTATCTCTAAGGGAGCGCCCAGCCACCCTGCGGAGGAAACCCATTTCGAGCGCTTGTATCCGCGATCTCGTCCTTTCGGTCACTACCCAGAGCTCATGACCATAGGTGAGAGTAGGAACGAAGACTGACCGGTAAATTGAGAGCTTCGCTTTTCGGCTCAGCTCCCTCTTCACCACAACGGTCCGATACAGCGACCGCATCACTGCCGAAGCTGCACCGATCCGCCTGTCAATCTCACGTTCCGTCCTTCCCTCACTCTTGAACAAGACTTTTACATTCAGTTGCATTTAAATTATAGTGTAAAAACCCTACGTAGGATTAAAAACTGCTTTATGTCTGTTTGACCATTTGTTGTGCATTTATTTATCACTAATTGGAGAAAGAAAAATCTCATATGCACTCACTGTAAGAGCAGAGAGTTTTCTATTTTTCTCTCTAATATCAAGCGGTTTGAAGTATAAATTGTGAGATCAAACACAGCAATGTATTCCTATGAATTTAGACAAGTAACTGCATTCTGAATACCACCAAATGAAAGAGTAGCTGTACCAGAATACAGTTACTAAGTATTCCAAATACGTACTCTCATTACAAGTATTTAGTTACTTCCCAACATTCTATCATCATGGATTATAGGTTAAAAAAAATAAATAGAGAGACAGTTTCTCACAAAATTTGGATTATAGATTAAGGAACAAAAGAAGCTTAAATTAAAAAAATAAAAATCACAGTTTCAGAGCTAAAATTTGCACTGTTGTCATAGCAATTAACAGTTCAAAACTAATTATATTCTAAATGCTCAGAAGGGAGCATATAAGGATGCTGGAAGACACAAATAGTTTATGTCATGGTCTCACCATATGCAGGCATTATACACTTTAATACCATTACCCATTATATTAATTCAGGTGATTTTTCTTTGAAACCAGAAAGATGTCCAAGGAATGACAATAAGCAGCCATATTGGTTAGCTCACAAAGAAAAGTCATTTTTACTTATGTATGCGTGCATAATATAAGCCGCACACACTTTGAGCAAGGCTCTAATCACTGGATCATTAGCCCGGCACATTTCCTCTGTCATGCTGACTGATCTAATGATTCAATTTGATTCAGACATTGTGATTTGATTTCACTCATACTGTTTGGGTCCTCTCCGATTGGTTTTGTTGATGAGGTGAGACCAGAAGCATTTGAGTGGGCACAGCACAAACTGATTAAGTTGAAAGAAGTTCATGTGTTGCCTGCGTCACTCTTCTACCCCCTATATTTGTTTGCTCAGTTTAAGAACATGTTAAATACAAACTCCTTAGCCTTATATGTAGGCCTCAAACTAATAAAAAAAATATTTTACTTTTCAGTCCTGTTCAAAAATGTGGTGGAGTAGAAAGTACAGATACGTGCTTTCAGATGTAGTGAAGTGAAAGTAAAAAGTATCCATTTTAGAATTTAAAGTACAGATACTTGAAATGTACAGTACTGCTGTTACGTTTCACCACTGACCCTAATATATGATGTTTGTGTCCATGTTTGACATCATAGTCTTGGTTTATTCCTGATTAAAATTTTAATATTTTTCATAAAATGTTTTCAGGAAGTCCACTTTTTCTGATAATGTCATAACAGTCTACGAGTAGTGTATGTCATACTTTTACTGAAACATAATTATTGTGCGTCTATTACATTTCTCCTAATTCCATGCAGCCCTACTTTCGGGTACATTCTGAAATCAAATTTACTTGAGAATGACATTGAAACTCTGTCAACTATCATTAGTCAGTGGATAAGCTACTTAGGAAGTGTATTCATATTGAAAGTCAGTTCTTGTTACTCTTATTCTGTTTCGGTCTCTGCAATGTCATCACTGGAAAATGCTCTCCATTTTTCTTTGTCTTTGGGTTTGTTATTATAGGCTTAGCTTTTTCTGCTTATTCATGTCCCCCGTTCCACAGACAGTGAAGGACAGACAGTCAAGGAGGAAGTGACAAATATGGTCTTGAAGTCTGGTGGGAGGAGCTTCATCATGTCAGTGTCATAAAAGCAGACAATTTATTAAAACATCATGGAGGATTAGTCCAAGCCAGAGTTATTGGTTTTCTAATAGAACAGTCTGTTAATCCGCTGGCCTTCTCTGACTTCTATAAAGACATTTTCACTGAGTTAGTGGCTTCATTTTACAAATTGCCCTCAGCTTTGTGGTGACACTTTCGATTTTTGAAAGAGAACAACATTACCATTTTTATTTTTTCCTCCTCTCGCTCCCCATGCTTAGATAATAGCTTGGCAGCCAAACTGGTCTGGCACAAGATGTAGTGTATGTATTTGTATTCATGCCAAAGACTGTGCATATGAGGCAGCCATGTTTGTGTGCTAGTTTATACATTTCATCTTCTGTTTATCCTAACAGAATAATACTGTAAATAGAATCAAACAATGTGGATGAGACTGAATTAGATGTTTGTTTTTGTTTTCTTGCGCTTAAGTGATTTTTCTTTCTTTTTAGTTAAAAGTGATTTTATTTACTCAAGTTATTTTTATCTACATATGCACATTTTTCACATGCAAATAGGGAAGTGGTGTTGATGTGTGATGAAAATAGTAATCATTGCCAAATTTGTTATTGTTTGTGAATTGCTAGTGTTTGATTGGTAGCCACAGCAATAGTGGTGGAAATAGCAGTAGAATATAATCATAAAAGTGCTTTAATGAGTAATACTTTTACAGTTATAATATACAGTATTATATATTATAATATATTAGAGTTCATTCGCAAAAAATATTAAGTGCCACTTAAAAAAGTAATTGGAGGCTTACTCTTTGTGTAGCAATGTTTTCATTTTACTGCTATATTACTCCATCCCTCCTTGACCAAATCCAGTAGCTATTATATTAATTGATAATGCATGTAGAAGATCAGAAAAAGAAAAATATTTTTGGATAATTCTTCAAAACTGAGATACATCTGTTTTTGCAATGGAACTCTTTATATATTGAAGATTTGTAATTAACAATATTTTATATTTTGCTATACATGATGTGAAAGCAAATATGTTTTGTTTCTGTTTGTATGGAGCTCTAGTGAATCCTTCTCTTCCTGTGGTACTGTCTGTATGCTGTGGCTGTAGAGTGAGTGAGCAGGCAGCAGAACAGGCTCTATACGTACAGAGCCTGGAGCAACTGGACTCTGACCAAAACCTTTGACCTGTGCAGAGCATAACACCAGCAGCATCCACAGGCAGCTTTGAGGTCACATTGATCTGTTCCCTCTGGGAGCTCTGTGGTCCCTGCACGAGCTGGGACTGCTGGGAGCGTGCTCTTTCACTCATCACAGCTTTTTGTGGTTAAAGCAAGCACTAATGAAGACAGAACTGTCTGTTTTCTTATACAATTTAATTAAACCACCGCAAGGAACCAGAAGACAAAACAAGCCATATGGTAACAACACTATAAAAACAATATTCAATTCAAAAGAACTTGGAGCTGTGTAAATAATGTCATTTGATGGTTGTTTTAATTAAAACAGAGTGTGTAAACAAAACTTTAAAAGGGCATTTCTCCTAAATCAACTAAATAAAAAAAAGTAATAGCATTGTTTAATTAATATGTAATATAATGTATAGTTAAGATCCCCATGTCTAAAGTCATTATTTTGTTACAGTGAAACCATCAAAGCCCAATTGCTGGATGGATGGCAAACTCCTGGAGGGCAGTGATGTCAAACTGAGCTGTAAGTCCAGCGACGGTTCAGATCCCATCAGCTACAAGTGGGAGCGAGTCCTGGACAAAGGCAAGAGTCTGGGAAAGCTGCCAAACCTGGCTCTGATAGGTAAGCAAAAGCACTGTCTGTGCACTACATGCTGATTCACCATTCAAACTGTCCAGATTTCCTCACTAACAAGATTTATTACACTGAGACTTTTTTAGAGTCTGTGTTTGTCTGACAAATGATCGTACTAGGCTTTCTTTACTTTTGCATAATTTTCCAAACATTTTCTCTTCCCAGTACAGCTGGTCCCCGAGCTGCTTTACTTGGATAATTAGTTACAATGCTTTCCTAAAGGGCACAAACACTGACTCTTAATGTCCCAATTAGACCCGATTTTGCACGCATGCCTTATCTTCACCACACTGAGGCACCAGACCCATCACAAACATAATGCTAACACCCGAAGAACACTATCTCTGCAATGCTAAAATACATAACTTTGATTTTTAGTGGAGGTTTGCCAAAATGATAAATTGTACAGCACTGAAAACGAGAAGCTGAGTGGATATTTCCCAATGGTTAAGAGTCCACACTCAGTCTTCTCGTTTTGGATTAATGTTTTTTCTCCACTGGGCTATAATATTGCTAATAGAAAAGGTAAAACTCTATAACTATGTTCTTTAGTCTGTGAAGCTGGGATCTTTTACTCATATTTATCTGGTGGATAATCAAGAAAACAAATATCCAATTCCACAATCATTACTGCACTTATCTATTTTATTCTTATTTTAATACAAATAGATAATAGACTGCCTGTATTTAAAACCATAGAAGTATTTAATTTAAGATCCTTTATTACAGAAAATTTACTCTTCTGAGCTGAAAGCCACGTTATAATGTTACCTCCTCAGAAACATACCTGGAGCTGTGTTTTGTTTCATAATCATAAGCCTGCATTATTAGACTGTCTACATCTCCAAAGCTCAAAACACTCAGCTACCTTTTACCTTTTGTTCAGTAGAGACTGGCAAATTGACTGAATTGATCCAAATGATTCAAGTGAAGCTGTATGGACTTTCTGTATTACCACTTGGTAGCACAATGTGGTACAGAGTGTTTTCTGAGAAGAAGAACTCAGCCTAAATATATGCACAGTCTGTGGGTTAAACATGTGTGAATGACACAAAACACAACTTTATGTTTTTGATGCGGAAACAACATTATAATTTAGATCAGAAAACTGCTTAATCTGGGCCCTTTGACGTAAAAAATGCTGAAAAAATAATCTGTATAATGCTGTGATGGAGTGGTAGCTTTCTACACATTTTTGCTCAGAAAGTGTGTGTGCTGTAGCCCTGAGGCAGACTTCATTCACACAGCGTGCATCCTGGCATTTGTCTTGGATCGTAACTGTCTCTAAACAGCCTTCGGGACACAAATGTAACTATGGGGCAAGTGCGTATCTGGTAAGCACCACAAATGGCTCCAGGCTCTGAATCTCTGTCTCTTGCTCACACTTAATCCACAATGGCATGAGCCTGGACCGAAATTCAATTTAATGACCTCAACCAAACAACACCTGTTCAGTTTAATTAGTTTTCATTGGACGATCACCCACAACATCCGCACGCATTATTCACAGGCCTGCAGAAAGGTAATACAATATGTTTATCATCCGTGAGATTGATTACAGATCCATCCGAGGCGCACTGTCGGCCATATTTTGTGCGCATGCCGTTGTTATTGCTGTCTATGGGCATTCACTGCAAGATAAAGTGTTTTCTCTTCCCCCTAACCTTATGCAGGGTCTGAAGTAGGCATGTCCAAAGTCTTGCTCGGGGCGCTTATGACAAGATAATACATGGCCTTTGAGTTCCATAACAAATAAGCATTCCCATATGGCAGCACACAGCTTAGTCAATAGAATCACTCATATTCTCTGCTTTCAGGACACTCTTATTCTTCTAATATAGACAGTAATACGGCTGTTTAGAAACAAGAGCTTGGTTATGCAGAAAGCAGCGGATCTATCCATCATAATATTGTTAGAAATAGCCTAATTATTACAATATGATGTTAAAAATACAGCAACTGTCTTTCTCTAAGTATTGTAAATGTAAATGAATAACTATAAATATACAGTATGTGTACAGTAATTTTATTATTTTTAAATGAAATAGTAAGGTGGTGGTTATTGTTAATTGTTAAGAACTTTGCTATGACTTGCATTTGTATTTATAAGTTTGACATTAGACCTTTAGTTATATTAAAATTTTAAAAGAACACTCAGCCCATTGCTATGCTCACTAATCCAAAACCTCTTTTTATTTTTCTCAAAAGCATTTGAACTGTAACTAGAGATGAATTTCTTCTTTTAGTAAATTGAATTAAATGTATTTATAGCATGTGTTTATGTTTCTTTCACCAGATCTAAAAAATCCTGAGATCGTCACCTTGAGAAACCTGACTATGGACAGCACAGGTGTGTACAGGTGCACCGCCAGCAATGACGTGGGCGAGGAGAGCTGCACCGTGGAGGTCACCATGCAGCGTGAGTGTCTGAAGGGGGTGGAATGGGGGAGGAGAGGCAGGAGGGACCGAGGGGGGAGAGAGGGGAGGAGCTCGACCTTGCTGTAGTCACCTCATACACAGCTGACACTCTGATTGATGGTTATTGTTTCAAACTCCAGCTGGAAATACATTTATTCTGCTCTGTGCCTTTTTCACTTCTCCACTCAGAGTTGCGTTTAAACACCAGGGACTGCGCCAAACAAGAGGGTAGAGGTGGCAACCAGTGTCCACTAGGTTATGTATTACTGATTGGTCCAGAGCAGTGAATAGATTTCGGGGTCATTCAGGTAGAACTATAGATCCCCAGGTGTTGAATTAAAATAGGGATTTCTTTAATTCCTTATCAGATTAATTTTATCATTCAGAACTATATGTTGTATGTAGGTGTGCACTTTACCAGGGAGGTAAGTGGCACCCAGCATTGCCCATACAGCCGAATGGATGGTTGATACACATTTACAACTCTGCTTAGGTGCAGCAGTTGTTTTCTTTAAGGGACTGACCACCAAACCATTCTGGCCCTCCTCTTACTCCTGCTGGCTGTGACCTCAGGCACATGTGGTCTAGAAAGGACACTGACCCTGAAAGACCTGTTGTATTGTCTGCTGAGTTTCATTTGTTTAAGCAAAGTTACCTCTTCTTCTCCAACACTCCTCTGGTTATGGATTCACCATGACTGGTGCCATCTGTCTCTCTGTGTAGTGCACCGTAGTGTGTCTGTTCAGGTGTGCTCCACCAAAGTGCTCCATTCTCATACAGGACATTTAGGTAGCTTCCGTCTTAAGCAAGAAAGGACAATTTAATAGATTTTCCTTTTTTTTTTTTTCTTTTGACATAGACAATGATTTTTCCCATTGGTTTGGTGAGTTAAGTTTTATTTTGTGTGCTATGTAACTTTTCATTTTTTTTGTTGTTGTTATTGCATTTATAATTTGCTTCACTGCATCATATGCACTGCATGACTGGTTATTTTGGATTAACATTTGCACGGTTTGCAGTGTTTTTCATAACACATTCAGTGTCCAGTCAGTCTGTTTGGTGTGTTTAATTTGGTTTTGTATTACTTTCAGTTTGTATTAATTTGTCCTGTACCTTGCAAAAGAAGCTATTTAACATTTTCATACACATAAAATAAAATTGGTTTGGTGTGTTTTGTTACTGTCTCACATCCCTCTCTGATGTCCGCAGTTTGTGTACACACCTATCGACGCCATATCCTCAAATGCCGTAGTTGTGACCCTATTCCAAATCTGAGTTGCCTAAGACTACAAGTTGAACTCTTTACCTGAAAAACAACTGGGAATTTTTTCTTTGCAGATGTCTCCATTACCCATCAAGTCAAAACAATAAAAAATTAGTAAACATTATTAAAGTGGATATGATTAGGTCATATGTATCTAAAATGCTGAAAATGTCCTCTCTTTTATGCTTGTACAGATATAAGAGATCTGGGGACCGTGGCTGGTATAGTGGTGGGGACGTTCCTGGGTGTCCTCATTGTTATTTTAATCATTTGGCTTGTCTTTCGGAAAAAGGAGAAGAAGAAGTATGAAGAGGAAGAGACTCCAAATGAAATCAGGTAAGTTTTACTCTATGTTGTTGATGTTTACTATGACCACACAGTGCAGGAAAAAATCTCATGAAATCATAGTTAGAAACCATTTTCTACACACCATGTTAGATAATTGTACAGTGTAGATGAAAGATAATACAGCAGAACAAGTAAAGCTCTCAGCCACGAGAGGCTGGGCAGACTGCACCTGCGGGTGGGTGTCCTGCACCCATGAGAGAGGCTAATCACAAGCCTTTGTTTAAAGTGTACAGAGAGAGACACTGCAGGTTTAACTTTAGTGCCACTTTCTGCCTTTGTCATTGTGAAACTTGAGAGTTTGAGTGATGTGAGGTGCCCCGCTGTTTTCTTCTCTCTTATGACATCTTGCATCAGCCTTATTCTGAGTTAATCACAACGGTAAAACAGCATTCTCTGAGCGGCTGTGGTGTAGGGACTAGTAATTACTGATGTAACTTTCAATTATGCAGGATGGGACAGACACAATGAATAATGCAAATAGAGATAATAATACACTGAGGTGTTTAAAATGCAGTTAAAATTGTGTTTTGTTACTGTCAATAAAATAAGGTTGATTTTACATCATGCCGCTATGCTACAGGGCAGTGCCTGAAGACCCACTTTCAGATCTTGAGCCATGCTTGTTCAGGAGTGGACTACCATAGCGACCATTTTACAAATTTGCTTAAGGTTGTATGTAATGACTCTTAACAGACATAAACAAATGTCAATGAATTTCAATGTCTGAAAATGGGCACATGACTTGCTAAGGCAGAAGTTTTCATTATGAAAAAATACTTTATTTTTCTTTTTAACATTTGCATGGGGTAACGCGTGATTTCAGCAGATTTCATTATTTGATGCAAATGTCCTCCTGAATGCTGTGTCTGGGTGCCTCATGAATTACACGAGGTCTCTACATATTAGCCCCATGGGAATTGGGAGGCAGAAGACACTGTAGAAATCCTGCTGTGCTGGCCTGTTTTGAGCGCACTGTGTACTTTCTGTTTTTAAATCCGAGTTAATAGAAACTGACCTTGTTTTCTGCATGTGTCTAACCACAGGGAGGACGCAGAGGCTCCTAAGGCCAAGCTGGTGAAGCCCAACTCTCTGTCCTCATCGCGGTCCGGCAGCTCTCGTTCTGGAGCTTCGTCCACTCAGTCAATGGTGCACAACAGTGTCCAGCGTGGCCACCGCCCCCGCCCTCCCGCTGTGGCTGCTCTGAAGGAGAATGGACAACCCCCAGGCTTCCCTCAGTCTCCTCCAGCCTACACCACAGTGGTCCCACCCAAGACCCCCGAGCCCCCCACCACCCCCAAAATTCAATTCCAGGAACATGTCCGCCCCTACGCCCCCTACCCTCATGGTCCCAGCGCAAACCAAGGCCTTCCAGACTGTTTAAACAGGAAAGCCCCAGCACTCCTGCAGCCAAGAGACTCCCACCCCTGCTCTATAGCGCCCCCCTTCCCCCAATGACTGAACTCTTCCATAATAAATGCAACCATAAAAGGAAGATATTACAACTATAAATTCAGAAGTACTTTTAATTAATGAATGCATAAAGAAAAATATGACTTGCTTGACCCCTACTGAATGACATAGAACAAAATAGAAGAAATTCCATGTCCAGAATGCGTCACTGTGTGTCTTGGCTGAAGGCTGAACTTCTTTCTGAGTTTCTTTTTTTGGCTTTGGGAGACACAGAGTACAATGTTTAACAAGGTGGAAAGCCCCCCAGTAGAGCTTTATTTATTTATTAAGGCAAAAGCTTAGAGGAAGAAATGGAAAATGAAGATGCCCGGAAAATATTGTCAGACCAAATTCAGAGTTGAATGCAGTTGATTTGTCGACAAAATAAATCTGGTTTGGGTACAGCCTGCAGAAAAGCTACCATTTTCTAAGGTTGAGTTAGAACAGCTATTCATTGCAGTGAGGACTGTATGGATAATTCGTTGCTTAATTTGTGTGTTTGAGCTGAAAAGGATGTTCTCTATTTCCCCTAAATGCCCTATGCTGGTAGTAAGTAACATTGGTGAATAATTAATAGTATTAGATCTATAGGCAGTCAATACTTTAAATATAGAGATAAGCATCTATTAAACCTGCCTGGCATTTATTTCCTTTCTTTATGTCTGTCCTGGAACGGGTGAAAAACACTGACAGATTGCTGTGTGTGCATTCATTAATATTGAGAAGTGGTACAAATCTTTACATGGGGTTTTAATCATTGCTTTTTATGTTATTTGCTTCAAGTATTTGAAGTGCTACATTGAAAACCAAAATGATGGTGAATGTGTCAAGCTCAAAGATGGTGGGTCCCTATTCATTCTAAAACCAGAATCTGTGCAATTTAGCATATACCCAGGAAGTCACAGGGTTTTGAGTGCCCTCTGTAAGCAACTCAGTTTTCCAAAAGGGTGAGGAAAGATGTTCCATCAATCATACAGGCATGACATTCTGACCTCCTGACTAGTAAGGTGCCAGTTTGTGTTCTGTATAGATCGGCATTAATTTTAAACTAAAAGTCATTATAATAACTAAAATTATGGCTCAAATTACATAGATTTTTGTTGACCAAAACCACGAAAAGTCCACTTTTCAAACGTTGAGATCCAAACCAGATTATAAACTGAACATCCAAATAAATGCATTGTAGTGTAAAATAAAAATTAATCTTTCTGGTTTGGTTTAATAAAACTTCACTACAATGAAAAAGAATTCCTTGAATAAATTTTGACTACTACTTATTGATCAGAAGAATAAACTAAATTCAAGTTTCATGTCAAAATGATTCATGATGTTTTGCCTGTTTGATGTTGAGGGTGCACAACATGGCACTAGATTCCTACCTTGGTTGGCGTGGCCGTTCTATCAGTGCTTTTGTTGCGCCCTGAGTCCTGATTTGATTGAGACTACAGCTGAAAACAGGGAAAGCTGCCTCTCTAGTGTGCCTTTGCGGTCCCCATTTTGATCTTTTCTTTGTCCTCATCAACAGCACACCAAGTGGTTCGGTCTCGGTTCAAGTCCAGCTTTAAGGGTCATATATAGCTTGCAGTCTAAGCCTCCAGCCAAGGGAACTCCAATTATCCACAGGGGAAAGCAATCTAGTGCCAGACCTTAGTAGTATATAAACTGTACATTGTGTAATCAGATTTGTTTTATATTGTAAATACAAATAGATATATACGCACATGATGTCATATGAATATAGGCGAATGTAAGGGGAAATATGAAAAACCTCTTACAAGAAGTCAAACGGGAAATGCTACATGTCATGACCCCTACATACACACTCGCAGGCCACATTATTAGTTACATTTACAGTACTTATACTATTAAATAATAATCTTGTATTCAGTTCACTGTTTTGAAGATCGGACAATAGAAAGAAGACATTGCTATCTGAAATAATGACTTAACTGAAGTAAGGGTTTTCAATGAGCAAATAAATATATTGAAATTCTGTTATGTTATTTACTGCTTGTATTTTGTTTTCCTGTACCTAATAAAGTGGCCTGTATTTTTGACATAATCATACACAATTATACAAAGAGACAACATACAATAACTTGAGCAACATATCTTCGCAGTCACTTTCCATTAAAGGATGTATGGGTTTTGTTGGTCCCCTAAGAATCCATTTTGATTTTTTTGGTCTTTCCTCAGGAGACTGCAATAGGTCAAAAAAATCATTTGATCGGGTCACTGATAAGTAACCTTGACGAGTGCGTTGGAATTCAATTTGTTTTTAAGGATTAGCTTGAGTTTCTTCAGCGCCAAACCTCCAATTCTCCTTGTACACAATGCACCTCCACTATTTTCTCTCAGGAAAAAAATGCTTACAAAATTCCATCTCATTTGATCAAACAATTAGTATTTTGCATTAGTCGGATCAGTTTTATATGAATCCAAGAAGTCGGTGAGGTTTAAGCAGGGAGCGTGCATGTGTGCGTGTGTGCTGAAGAGTACATGCAAGTCTATGGGGGAGTATGGCCTTAGGCGACACCCACTCTTTTCTCTCAGTGGTGGAGGAGAATCCAGCCAGGCAACCAGGTAACCTTTATCTACATTGATAAAACTGCAGACTGCTCGCATGCATCTCAATTTGCACTCATTTAAACCTATTTTTGAAACATAGGTTATCTTGTTGCCTGTTTTTTTCGTTTAAGGACAAAGCGAGTCCATAATTCATTTTTATTGTCAGCACTGAAGGGCACCACGGTCTTCTCTACTTCTTAACTACAATAGAGCAGATGTTGATGTGCAATTGAGATTTACTTAAACATGCATATAGGCAGAAATTCACAGTATTTGAAAAACAGTCCTTTTTTTTTTTTAAGTTCTTTACAAATCAATATGATGGATTGAATGTCTGCAGGTGTTAAGGCTGATGGATGCAGTCAGGAATCTCAAATGTAGCACTGAAAGGACACTAGCCAACATTGCTTTATACCTGGGGGACTTTAGCACACAAAAACAGATACACATTGTAAATATAAAAACACAAAGTCTGCTGTTTCTGAAATACAGCTATGCATCTTTAAATTCATGGATAGCATATGCTTCAAGACTGTTTTTATTACGGGAGTGAAGTGGTGCAAAATAAAAGGATTGATTCCGAGCCAGAGTAGCGCAGGCTCGTGCCATTGAAATTCCTCCACACGTGAAAAGCAGCAGTGGAGGTGAATGAGATGTGAAGTCTTCCAGCTGTGAAATTCCACCAAGATTTGTTGCTTTTTTATTTAATTTCCACAGTTTGCAAGAAGTCTCAGATGGCAGATTCCCCATTTTATGAGTCCTGCATTGCTCCAGTCCTAAATGTGCAAAATATCGTCAAAATATATTACTTAGAGTTGATGTCATTCAAAAGCAGGGATCAGCACATCTTACCTTGACTGTATCCATCCACACAGTATATTATCGGCACTCACATGTAGTCAGAATATACCTATTTGCTGTCATCTGCATTATATGATAGAGGTATAAATTACATGTAGCCACTTTTTATGTTAAGAATATTTATGTTAAAATGTTGAGCAGGTCGTAGGGAGATTTTGTGGAATGTCAACACATGCATTGACTGAAAAATGGTCTCGGTTCTGGAGATATTACAAAGATGTCTGCATGTCTTTGATGGAGACCCAGCAGATGATTGGGAATGCTTTGGTGTATCATAAGCTTCAGTTTAAGAAAAAAATTAAAACATAAAAAAAAAAACTACAATTGTAAATATAATCACAGAAAGTTTTACAAAGCTTTATTTTTGGTCTCATATTCATGTACTTTGCACTTTTTGTGTGCTCAGCTCGTCACCGGCCCGTTGTGTGGGTTTCAGTGGTGAGCTGTAGTGTTGTGGATGTCAGGGACAGCAAACACGAAAGGGAAATGTATCAGACACTTGTTTCATTCATGCTCATCTATTTTTCTTCAGTGCTTTGGATTCTCGGCTTGTTTGTCTGTTTGAGAAATACAATCCATGTAAATATCACACAAGTAAAAAATGTATATTTTTACGACTTCTGAGTTACTACTATTTCATTTGCAAATAAAATATACAATGACAACATACCTGAATGTATGATCATGAATTATTATATTTAAGATATGGAGCACCAGTGACTGCGCACCCTCAGTTCCACAAGTAAATTTCTTTTTTTTCCCCCAAAGACTTTGTTAAAAAAAAAAAAAAAAACATAATATTAAAAGGTTGAAAGCTTCTAAGGTAAAAAACCTATAATTTTACTAAGTCTGTTTCTGAAAATTTTCCAAATTTTGTGTTTTAAATGTCTCCACAACTTGACTTTGAATTCTTAGTCTATGAGAAAATGAATGGAAAATGTACTACAGAACTGAAGAGGGAAGTCACTGTTGAGCTCCATAATGGATCTGGACTCTGAACAAACACATATATGGCAGCCCTGGAGGGACATTTGCTTGTGGGATCAAAGGTCAGTGTGCTGGATGGATTAGAAGTTTATGCAAGAACTGTGAGATTCAGATGTCCAATTCAAATTATCTTAATGCTTAAAGTGGGAAAATAATACCCAAATCATTGATGATGTTAAAGAATCACTGGTCGGACCCAAATATGCAGAGGGAAAAAAAGTATTTTATTCACAAAATAGTCTTGGCAGGAGGATACATTCCAGGGGAGGCAGGACGGGTCTTGGTTGGCTGCAGATGGGAGGTCTGTGGAGATGGAGGCTGACCGGAGGCTGACCGGAGGCTTACAGAAACTGGTGTTAACAGGATGAGGCTGGCTCCAAAACAGAAGAACTGGGGAACGGATAAAAGAAAACAGGTAAGAGTCAAAAATCTTCAAAAATGCTCAAAAACACAAAAAGCCTGAGTTGTTCACCACTTGGTTGACAGAATGATCTGGCACTGGAGAGCAGGTCAGCAGGTCTTTTATTGCAGGAGTGGAGCTCAGCAGGTGAGATGAATTGGGGACCCGCCCAGGAAAAGCCAAATAAGGTGAGAGAAGGGAAGAGGGAGCAGGGAAAGGAGGGGTAGGAGGGGCAGAAAGAAACCCTCACAGATGAAGCAATTACCTTTAAGTTGTGAGAGTGAATTGTCCCAGCTACACCCATTTAAGGCCCACAGGGAATCAGCAGAAGATGGAATAAGGCTTGAATGAATGACAATGCACTGATTAGCAATGGATTGGCTCACATTTCAAAATAAAATAAAAACTAAAAGAAGCAAATCATACATAAGAGAAAAGTCATATATCAAAAACACACTTTTTTTTTTTTCCCTTTGTCAACGTTTCAACAGCACCTCAATGTGACACCACAGCCTGAGGCAACAAGGTCAGAGATATTTATTGACCCGCCCAGCCCCTATTGACTGACGCTTCTCTTTCTCTGAAAAGTCCCTGTCATGTTGGTCAGCTATTGAACTGCACAGATCAAGTGTTTGCGCCAACATCACTTAAAGAGGAACCTTGAGAACTACTTACTCTTCTAGGGGAAATGATGAGGTGAGTGAATGAAAAACTGTGAGAAAAAAAATGTGAGAAAAATACAAGGATAGTTGTGGCTTTAGGCTTGTGTATTTCCTTTTCTTTAAGCCTACAGATACATCACCAACAATGAACAATCAAAGGTTTAAATAAAATAGTTTCACCTATCATTTTTCAACAGTCATTTTGTTGGCAAATCAGTGAGTCAATGTACTTCACAGTCTCGACTCAGTTCTTGCTTGTATTTATTATTTATTAGGCAAATATATCTACTTTAATAATAGTAAGAAATCCATGTAATTTTAGGTAAGTTTTAGTCCTTACTGGATGTTTTATTTAGCAAAAGCAAAGCAAAAATTTCAAGGGAGCATATACAACCAATATACATTCACATAATCTGTCCTCACTAAGTAACATACCTTCAGTCTCTAACATTGTATTACATTGCAGAGACACAACAGATAATTGTTGTTTGTGGACCAAAAAAGGCACATCTTACACTCTGACTCTTTCTGACTCTACAGTAGTTGCCATAATACAGAAGTATGGTTAAAGCTCCCCCTGGTGGAAAAGTATTGGTATATCTACTTTAGGCCTATCTGGGAGTATGTGGCATTTAGAGCACTGTTCACCATTCAAAAGATATAATATTTTATTTTAGATTGTCAATCATTCTATATTTTTAATTCTGGCAGACCTCTTCCTGCCATTCCTGTCACCCAAATATCACAGCGAGCTCTCTTTTATAAGAATTATTTTTGTGTTTATTCCCACACACACACTGGACCACTGGACCAGCAGTTATTTTTAACAATTGTTCAGAAACATGTATTAAAAACAGCATACAAAATAATAGCACTTTATGTATCCAGAGCTTAATTAATATTTGTTTCCAGTTTTATAGGTCTAGAGCGTTTTGAGAGTTGGAGATGTAGATAGACTAATAATGCAGGGTTACTCAAACAACTGTGAATGAAACTCAACACAAAACTCCAGGTATGTTTCTGATGAAGTAACAACATTCTAACATGGTTAAAAGCTCACAAGAGTCAATTTTATATAATAGATAACCAAGTCAACTGACCAAAAGCTGCCTAGTACAATCAATGGGACAACATTTTAATTAGTAGCACCTCTTACTGCTGATCTGGCAATAGCTAATTCAGATCACAGTGCATTGTGGGTAAACTTCAGTGCTTCTTCTTGTTCTCTTATGAGGCCCAAGGAGATGAGATGTTGTAGATGTCCTGGTTGTATAGGAGTTAGTGATGCATGCGACTGTCAGCATCACATTACGCAGCTCAGTGAAGGCTGTAGGCATTATGTCTAATAATGTACATTCAAACAGAGGCTTCAGGGCACAAATAAAAAGTCAGTTTATGATAGAGGCTTGAAATATGTCAAAATTCTCATGGCATCTCTTCAACCCAGGGCTATCATATCTGCTTAATATTCATTTTGTTGATTCCATTGTTCCGTAAAACTGTACGAGGAAATAGGATCAAAGAAAATGTATCTATATATGAACCCATAAGCAATGATCTGGATTCACATTTCTAACCAATTTTTCTCAGTGTTTTGACTGGAATACTTTATTACATTATCATGAAAGATTAAAGGTAAGGTGTGGGAAGTAATACCCTGATTAAAAGTGCACAGTGTAACTTAAAAAAAGGATGAAAAAAATTACAAGGGGTTTAAATGGAAGGTATCTTATAATTTGGAACATTCAGTTAGCCTGATTCATCCGCCAGTTTCACTTCATGGGAACAGTCTTACCCTGCAGCATTAGGGTTCATTCGCTCAACAGTAGGTGGGTACTTTTATTTGCTATTTGGTCGTGACATATGTAATGCGCTCGGTCTACGATCAGTGGTGTCCAAGTAATTGCCGGCACAACAGCAAACAGAGCAGAGAGTGAAAATCTTCGATCTCGGGAATCGTTGTTACACAGAATGTATGGCTTCGTCTACATTCATCTCGACAGCTTTGTTTACTGTTGTGCTGTACCACAAAAGGGACCTAGACAGGCGCTTGAGTTTGACCTCATGACTTCACAGTTCTTTGTGATTGGTCTGTTGGTCTTGGTGAATGGTCTGTAACTTCCAGGGTTCTTGCAAACCATGTAGTGTGTACTGATTCCTGACCTAGTCGCTGGAGAGAAATTAATTTGAGCAGAGGCGCTAGGTGGCACCAGCCTGGCTAACATTCAGTACTCTTCACCAGAAAAGATACATGGTGCACCTTTAAAGGTTCTATGTGATCTTGGCTATTGTGAGCTTTATGTCATGTTAGAATGTTCTTTCCTCATCAGAAACATACCTGTAGTTGTGTTTTGTTTGACTAACTCTTTATATTAGTCTGTTTACATCTCCCAAGCTGAAAGTGCTCTGTTCCACCTTGAGATGTTATGAAGCAGTAGTTTTCAAGAGTTTGTGAGTTAAACATGTGTAAATGAAGCAAAACACAACTCCCAGCATTTTATGAGGAAACAACATTATAACATAGATCAGAAAATAGCGTAATGGGCCCTTTAATAATGCCCTATTACCCACACAGATGGACAGTGAATGCATGCGCTAGAAACAATGACCAAACTTAACCCAGGATGTCATTCACTGCAGATTGGAGAAGGTAAAATAAATCTAGGCCTTCCCGTAATAGTATAACCATTACAGGTGTGAAATGTCAGTACAACCTGACACAGTCTCAAGCAACTTTGGCCAACTCTTTTACTGTGGTTAAGTATAGTAGTGCATTATTCACTTTTGCCCAGGCTGAAACGGGAAACTCGCACCCTCAAGTCTTTCAGTGACATTTTATAAAACTTGCAAAAGTGTCAAACTCGTCTTATTTGTCTTGTGAGGACGGAGGATTGGCATTGGCCTCAAGGGGGAAGAATCATAAAGGGACCTTCACTGCTGATTCACCAGTGGACAGACAGACAGGAGGTGACGCGTGAGGGGTTTAGAGCCATCCACAAACTGTCCAAAACTGATGACATGTCCAAGTGTCCCTCAAATGTGAAATCATGACTCAGCTAATTTCAGTTTTATTTATCTCTTCATCAGATGATAAAATGTGCATTGGAACTGATTATAAATACATAATTTAGTTCAATGCTTTTTTGATTACATGAAAATATAGCAGCAGTTAAATATGAAAGTTTTGTAACGTGTACTATTTAACTCTTTCTGGTGATAGTTCCATTTCCTGCTTGTCTCCATGGAGTTTAATGCCATACTGTGGAATACAGTCCCTGACAAAGGTCTTGTCTCTTATCCATTTTGTAGAAACAAAAGCTTATAACCTGACTTTAAATTAATCGATTGGCTTTAGAAATGTCTCATATGAAAGCTAAAACCCTCCCAAATTATGCTCAATATACTAAAATAAATTTGCTTCACTGAAGAAAGATTGATCATTTAATGAACACAGAAAGGTCAGATTTTGGCAAGACAAAAGTTTTGTCGCCTACAGAAAATTGAACAAATAATTTACTTCAAATACAAAAATATGTGAGATCCATATTTCATATCTTGTATGACTTCCATGAGCTTGAAGGACGCATCCATGTGGTTCAACAATGATTCATACAATTTGT